CCGGGTTTCAGCTCGCCTGGCAGCAGCTTGACCCCCCCGAGATTTCGGCAGACGGTGTGTGCTGCCATCCTGTGCCTTGGCTCAGCCCAGCTCCCCAGGAGCCATCTCACTGTGAGAGAAATTACCTACCTGCAAAGCTAAACACACTCATTAGCTTCATTAACACCCTCAAGCTGAGGGCTCCAACACCAGCTCCATCAGCTGTCAGCACAGCCCCTACCCCTACAGGCTCAGGAACCCTCCCCACAGCAGCAAAGGCTTTTCCCAGGCTCCTGCAGGAGCTCTGGGATTTTCATCATCTTGAAAAGACAAACCCTGGAAGCAGCTCCTGGCAACAAAGCAGCTCATGGGGGTGTCTGCAGGGGGACAGCACCCACCCAGCAGCCCCAAACTGGGCAAGAAACGGGGCTCCAGCCAGCCCTGCTGCTCCCACAGTCACCAAAACTGAGCTTCAGCTCAAGGGAAGGGCCTGGGGCCCCATCCTGTCTGTCCAGCACCACGTGGAGCTGAACTGCCCCCGCAGCATTTCGCACCAAGCCCAGTGAAGGCGGGGGGGTGTGAGGAAGGAAGATGCTGGAGAAATCAGGGGCTGGAGCTGCCCGTGCTCATGGTGCAGCCCTCTGCTGCCTGCCATGGGTGCCACTGCAGCCCCAGAGCCACGAGAACTTGCTGTGCTCACCCTGACATCCCCACCCAACAGCTTGCAAGGGAAAACTCACCTCCCACAACCCCAAAAACCCAGGAGCAGGGACAGAGCGGGACGCCAGGCTGCTCACTCTCCAGGGCTCTGGCTCCAGGCTCCCCCCGGGTGCTCCAGCTGCTCTGGCAGGCAGGGCATTCCCATTTCCATGTCTATTTTGACCTCACTTGATCCCCCTCAGTCCCACACACCCCACGTCTTGCCTGTGCAGCCACCCCTCTGATGGCCTCCTGCAAACAGGACCCAGCAGGAGCGTGCCCACGCCCCATGCCACCCCAGGGAGCTCCCCTTGGAACCCTCCTGCACCACGGGGGTTAAAATAAACTCTTCTTAAGTTACAATAAAAATAAACCTGCAGTGAGCAAAGGCAGGCTGTCATCCTCCCAGCTAATCAGCAGGGAAGCAAAGCAGAGGTTCCCCTGCCTGTGCTGAACCCAGGCTCTGGGTTCCCCTCACTGGGCTGGCACAGAGCAAGGAGCTTTTTTTCCTAATAAATCAAAAGGTTTTCTCTTCACAGGATTTGCCTTTTCTAATCTTTCCACACAAACCAGTTGCCAACTGGCCCCAGCTGCTGAGCACGTTTGTTGGGCTGGTGCTGGATGCTCTGCACAGGCTGCTCCCACCCCACAGTGCTGGGAAGGCAAAGCCCCATCACCCCCCCAAAAAGGGGCAGTGCTGGGGGACCTGGGTTGAACTGCTCACCTCCCCTGTTTCTTTTTCCTGCCTTTGGCACCAGGACATGTGGGGAGCCTGCAGGTAATGGCCTGAAAGCTGCTGCAGCTCCTGCTGGAGGTGGTTCAGAGGGAACAAGCAGCAAAGCTTCATTCCACTTTAACTGCTCATGAA